TCTAAATAAATAAATGAATAAAAATTTAAAGAGAAGACTGCTTCTCCCTGGACCAGTACTTTAAAAACAGGCAAAAAAAAAAAAAAAAAGCCTTTTTGGGGGGGGGGAAAAAAAAAAAAACCTCTCTTTTTGTACCTAGGTGTTTTAGTCATTTTTTCACTGAAAACATCTGATCCCTATTCACTGCCAACACTCAAAGTGTGATTACAATACTGCCAGTGGGAACTAAAGATGTGGAAATACACTTAATAATCAATAGGCAGTGAGAAATCACCTGATTTTTTTTTATGATTTTTTTTTTTTAATGGAGCAAGAACATGAAAAGGCAATTTCCAGGAGAAATACAAATGGCAAAAAATATGAAAAAACACATATCATCAATAAGGAAATAAATTTATATTTATATTACATGTATTTTTCACTTACAGGTTTCAAATTAATTTAAAATATTTTTTTTCTTTTTTTGAGACAGAGTCTTATTCTGTCACCCAGGCTAGAGTGCAGTGGCGTGATCTCAGCTCACTGCAACCTCTGCCTCCCGGGTTCAAGCAATTCTCTGCTTCAGCCTCCTGAGTAGCTGGGATTACAGGCACCTGCCACCATGCCTGGCTTATTTTTGTATTTTTAGTAGAGACAGGGTTTCACCATCTTGGCCAGGCTGATCTTGAACTCCTGCCTTCATGATCCACCCGCCTTGGCCTCCCAAAGTGCTAGGATTACAGGCGTGAGCCACCGTGCCCGGCAAAGAATCCCACTCCTAATGGAACTATAAATTGGTACAATCTTTCTGGAAAACTATTTGAAAATATCATTTAATATTTTGACAACTTTTTCCTAGAAGAAGGACTGAGTCAATAATCCTTCTTCTAGGAAACTTCCTACAAATATGTTAGAAAAAATGCTCAAAAATATATGGACACATACACGCTCTATAGCATTGTTTTTAATAGAGAAAAACTATTATTGTAAACAAACTACATGCCCATCAGTTGCAGCTTAACTATGTTAAATGTATGTAGCATAACTGACTTTAAATTTGATTGGCATGTCATTAGAGATATGCAGATCAAAACCACAATGAGACACCATCTCACACCAGTTAGAATGGCTATTATTTAAAAGTCAAAAAATAACAGATACTAGTGAGGTTGTGGAGAGAAGGGAACACTTATATACTACTGGTGGGAAAGTAAATTAGTTCAGCCACTGTGGAAAGCAGTTTGGCTTTTCTCAAAGGACTTAAAACAGAATTACCATTTGACCCAGCAATCCCATGATTGGGTATATACATAAAGGAATACGCATCATTCTATCATACAGACACATGCAAGTGTATGTTCAACACAGCACTATTCACAAAAGCAAAGACATGGAATCAACCTAAATTCTCATCATTGGTAGAATGGATAAAGAAAATGCGGTACATATACACCATGGAATACTATGCAGCCATACAAAAGAAAGAGATCATGTCCTTTGCAACAACATGGATGAAGCTGGAGGCCATTATTCTAAGCAAACTAACATAGGAACAGGAAACCAAATACCACGTTATCACTTATAAGTGGGAGCTAAACACTGAATTTATATGGACACAAAGAAGGAAACAACAAACACCAGGACCTATATTGAGGGTGGTGGGAGGAGGGTAAGGACTGAAAAATTACCTAGCCGGTACTATGCTTATTACCTGGGTGACAAAATAATCTGTACACCAAACCCCTGCAAAACACAATTTACCTATGTAACAAACCTGCACGTGTACCCCTGAACCTAAGTTAAAAAAAAAAAAACCAGGTCAGTCTACATGTACTAACATGGAATGAAACAAAAATCCAATATGTAAATAAATGTAAATATATTTGTACAAGTATAATGGCATGTATATGTAAGGGGTACTAACTTTCACTTTCTATTACATGTTTGTATTTCAATTTTTAAACATATAATTTCCTTTTATAATAAAAATGTGAAATATTAAATGTTTCAAATAGCAGTGAATTTATTGTCTATCTCGAGTTACATGTAGATATTTTCTACTATTGTTCTTATTCAGAAAAATAGATTGCTACATTAATAAAAAGTGTAACTTATTTCAGCTTATTATTACCACTTTTAGTTTACCACTTTTAGTTAGTCTTGTATGGAATTTTTAAAACAATTTCACATAATCTGACAAAGTACTGTGGGATACTTTGATGGGAAGTAAAAGTCTTTTCTAAGAGTATAGAAGTATAGGAGTTCCTACCTTCAATTTTCATCCCAAATGAAAGCAAATACTTCCTCATCTTTTCACATATTATTTATATGGTAATGGGCCTTGGACTGTCTATTTTGATCCAACTGAGAAATCCCAAATGAGACTACAAATGGAAATAGTAGTTTATTCCTATCTGGCTAAAGACTGATTTCTGGACTTTTCATTTTATCTTCTTTGTATCCCTTCTGATCACACTGCTTTCACTCAATTTACGTTGGCAGAAAGTTTCACAAGTCCATTAAACTTTGTGGCTGATTGTTTCCTTCTCACACATCAGTAACTTCCAGCTCAAGAACTCCAGAATCTGGCAAACAATTCCATTGTCACCCTATCTATGGCTTACTCGGAGGCAGGGAGTGAGGCAGGTTCCAAGCATGGGCTCTGGAATCAGACCCACCATGTGACTTTACAGCAGGTTTGGGTTGCATGATTCGGGGAAAACGGCTTAACTTCTGCATTCCTTTTTTCTCTTCTCTAAAAATGGGACCAATCTCTGGGGATTGTTAAGGATTAAATAAGATAATATAATCACTTAAAACAGTATAGCAAGTGAGACTTTACTGATTTTTAACTACATATCCTTAGAGCCCTATAGGATCTTAAATGTTTAGTTTATACCCATTTGATAGTCTTCTAGCTTCTGGGATCTTTCACTGTATCTTCTTTGATCCTTCTCTCCTTTCGTGAGACATCACCATACATATGCACAACATTCCAATTGTCTTTCAATTTCATTTAACAAGAAACTTACATGATACCTACCACATGACAGACATTATTCTAATCACTAGTGAATGTTCACTGATTTTATTCTTTTAACAACAGTGTAAAGCAAATATTATTACTTATTTTATTGTAAAGATAAGGCAACCATTTCATAGTGAGCATAAGCAGCTTACCTAAGGTCACAAGAAAAGAAAGAATTGGAAAAAAGAATTGAGCCCAGGCACTCTGGCGCCTAGCCATTCTGCTGAGCAGTTCTCAGCTGTGCCCTCAAGGGCAAAAGGTCTCCCCAGCAGGCAACGGTGCTCCTGCAAACTAAGGAAAAATCAGCTAATACATAAGACGCACAAACATATAGAAATGAATGATCTATTGGATATTTACTGTGGTCAAACACTTTGACATCTAGCACATTTAAGAGAATCTATTTCCATAACTCTAGAAACAGGCACCATAAGTCAGTTCCTCTTTGCAAAGTTTCCCACACTTCAGTGTTTTGAAATTTGACCAAGTAGTGATTTCCAGTGTTCAGATTATGAAATTATCCTGCAGAGAATTTCTCTTGTTTAAAGAAAAACGATTCCAGATCTTCCTTTAGATTACGGATCTGGGGCTACAGGAAAATTTACAATTAATTTTGCAGGTTAAATTTCTCTACTTAAGAAATAAAGGATTTTTTTTTTTAACCTCTACTGAAGCAAACAAAAAGATATACATTTATGTTTAAGACATACATGTATGTTCCGTTACGTTAGTGAAATCTTGAATCTATACTCCCATGGATTAATTTATTTCAGTCAAAGAGAAATTTTTCAAACTGTGCCATTATTGGGTAGTCTAATCAAAACTATTGGACATTGTATTGCCCATATTTTAAAATGTCCAGGGGTATATTAAGTTTTTATTCTCAGAATCCAAAGCCAAGCCACCCAAAACTTTGTGATCAACCAACACTACAGTCTCGTCTAACTCCATGGTAACACTTGCGGCAAGAAACATGAAATGAAACTCACCACGGAGAACTCCACATCCTCCATAAGATCTCCTAATTTCTGCTTTTCCTATGCCTACCTGGCAAGTAGATTTCGGCCAAGGACAACCTTCTCTATGCAAAAGCACCAATACATCTTTCCAAACTTGAAGAGAGTTAAAGGAAAAAATGGACAGATATTGGCCCAGTGTTGATTGATGAAATTCCTGAAGCCCTCTGCACTCATAATATACAAAGTACAGAAAAGATTTCCAAAAATGGCCCTCTACTAAGTGAAAGAGTATAATATCTCTAACCGGGTTTGCAATTCACTCCCATGGCAATGGGACTAAAAGTCACTAAAAGTGCCTCCTACATGTCAAGCACTATTCCAAGCAATCAATTCATTCTTAATAACACAGTGAGGTAGATGCTATTTTCAAACCCATTACACAGATGAGGAAATTGAGACTCAGAGCTGTTGAATCATTTGTCTATAATCTAATCACAGTTAACTGGTGGAACTGGGATTCTAACTCCAAAAATCTGGCTCTAATAGACTTCACCTCTTAGAAAATGTCATGTTAACTCTCAGAGATCTCAAAACCAGAAGACTAAGACAAATATCTACAAAAATAAATGTACTGTCCTCCTGAACACAAATTACTTGAAAATCCAGTTTACAAGGATACAGAAGATTATTCTGTCCGATTTTAGGTGGTCTTATTCTCCTACTTGATTGTAATTTGGGACTGTTTTCTTCATGTTTCTACTTCCCACTATATACAAGAGGCACTCAAAAACTTCACTGAACATGCAGATCAAGAAGATAAACTTCAAGAAAGTTATGATGAGGAAATTTAAAGATAATTGAAAATTAGCTTCTTTATTCAAGTCACAGATTAACAGTATGAAAATTTGAACTAAAAGAGAGTATTAGCAAATGGCCCAAAGGTCTGAATATGAAGAGGTTCCCATGGGTCACATTACATAAGTAAAAATAAGGAAGGAAATCCACTATAAGAAAGCAGAACATTTGCTTCACATGCTCTTTTGTAAGCTGAACTAATGACTGCCGCAAGAAGAAGACACAGAGAACTGAGTATCCTCCCAAAGGTGAATTTCAATTTTTATTATGAGTGTGCTTGCTTATATAAAAGGCAGAATATGCTTAAGGGAAAAAAGTGCTTTAAAGTTAATATTCTACAAACCATAGTTTATGAGCATAAGAAATTACATAATTTACAGCAATCTGATGTATTAGTAATAATTAATGATGTATTATCTCTTAAACAGTGTTTTGTTTTATGGCTAACAGTAGTACCTGTGAATGAGGTAGAACCTGTTATTTGGATTTCACAAGGATGTGAAAGTAATGATACTGTTAAAAGTACCAAAAATGTATTCTATGCTTTAAAAATTCTAGCCAGAAAACAGTATTTTCCTTCTCAATACATCTATTGAAAGTGTTGGATAAATGCAGGATGTTAATATGCTATAAACCTAAAGTCTGTTTTTAAAAAATAGCATTTGAAAATCATGAAGGGATTTTTGTCTTCTTTTGTTTGTATATATGTTTATTGGTAACAGGTGACGTTGGAAGCAATGAACACCACAGTGATGCAAGGTTTTAACAGATCTGAGCGGTGCCCCAGAGACACTCGGATAGTACAGCTGGTATTCCCAGCCCTCTATACAGTGGTTTTCTTCACTGGCATCCTGCTGAACACTTTGGCTCTGTGGGTGTTCGTTCACATCCCCAGCTCCTCCACCTTCATCATCTACCTCAAAAACACTTTGGTGGCCGACTTGATAATGACACTCACGCTTCCTTTCAAAATCCTCTCTGACTCACACCTGGCACCCTGGCAGCTCAGAGCTTTTGTGTGTCGTCTCTCTTCGGTGATATTTTATGAGACCATGTATGTGGGCATCGTGCTGTTAGGTCTCATAGCCTTTGACAGATTCCTTAAGATCATCAGACCTTTGAGAAATATTTTCCTAAAAAAAACGGTTTTTGCAAAAACGGTCTCAGTCTTCATCTGGTCCTTTTTTTTCTTCATCTCCCTGCCAAATATGATCTTGAGCAACAAGGAGGCAACACCATCGTCTGTGAAAAAGTGTGCTTCCTTAAAGGGGCCTCTGGGGCTGAAATGGCATCAAATAGTAAATAACATATCCCAGTTTATTTTCTGGACTGTTTTTGTCCTAATGCTTGTGTTTTATGTGGTTATTGCAAAAAAAGTATACGATTCTTATAGAAAGTCCAAAAGTAAGGACAGAAAAAACAACAAAAAGCTGGAAGGCAAAGTATTTGTTGTCGTGGCTGTCTTCTTTGTGTGTTTTGCTCCATTTCATTTTACCAGAGTTCCATATACTTATAGTCAAACCAACAATAAGACTGACTGTAGACTGCAAAATCAACTATTTATTGCTAAAGAAACAACTCTCTTTTTGGCAGCAACTAACATTTGTATGGATCCCTTAATATACATATTCTTATGTAAAAAATTCACAGAAAAGCTACCATGTATGCGAGGGAGAAAGACCATAGCATCAAGCCAAGAAAATCATAGCAGTCAGACAGACAATATAACCTTAGGTTGACAATTGTACATAAGGTTAACCTCTATTTATTGATGAGACTTCAGTAGATAATGTAGAAATCAAATTTAATGAATAAGAAAAGATTGGAATAAATGCTCTCTTACATTATCCTAGTGTACAGAAAAGATTACATAAATTTTAACTCCACATACATCTATTCATAAGCTGAATGAACCATTACTAAGAGAATGCAACAGGACACAAATGGCCACTAGAGGTCATTATTTCAAGAGCATTTCACTTTAACACTTTGGAAAAGATTAAGGAGAATGTACATCCCTACAAACCTCCCCTCCAAACACCTTCTCACATTCTTTTCCACAATTCACACAACACTACTGCTTTTGTGCCCCGTAAATGTAGATATGTGCTGGGGGGAAAAAAAAAAAAAAAGCCAAACTCCTGAAGTCCGTTGTTGAAAACTGCAGCCAGGGGTTGAAAGGGATGCAGATCTAAAGAGTCTGAGGAATTGAAGTGGGTTAGCAAGACCTCCAAAATCCTGGGTAAATGATTTTCTCCTTACAATTACAAACAGCCTCTTTCACATTACAATAATATACCATAGGAGGCACAAGCACCATTATTAAGCCTCTTTGCTTACACCTTAAGAGTGTACAATTCAAGTGTAAGAATGCTGTGTTAACTATTCTTTGGAATTCTCCTTTTGTCTAGCAAATACTCTAATGATGGTTAAACATGCCACCACTCAGCAATGCCTTCCTGGCATTGCCACAACCCCTATGCCCCTGCCCCACCCTCCTGGTTAAAAATAATTACTTCTACTGTTTGGGTGTGTGATAGGGTTCTCAGTACAGATCCCCCTTTTCTAGTTAGCTATATTCTTGACTGTATCCCCTAAAAATGTTAAAGCTTCTTGAGAGACAGACATGCCAGGTTTTCTTGGTATCTCCCACAATACGCCCTCCAGTGCATGGTCTACAGATGTTTAAATAGAATTGCTGTTCTCGATCCACACAAAGATGGAATTGCCGACCCATTATCAGTAACATCCATATTGGGAGCTTTTTCAAAGGATGGTGACCTGTTTGTACTTATTTACCTTGGTACTTTTTCTTGCATCCTTTTGTGATTCAAAAAATAAAACGCAGCTTTCTGAAATGATGGATAAGAGTCTACATCTTCTAGAAAAAATACAGGAAGGCGTAGTTAAGCTCTGTAAATGTGCCATGAGCTCCAACACGAACATCATAAGGTGAAGCCAACGTTTTCTTCCATGGCCTCAACGACCCTAGAACTTGCCTACCTTTCTGGCCTTACCTCCTAGCTACTTACCCATCTCTTGAACTTTATACTCCTGTATACATTTCTAAGTTTCAGAAAATGCCACGCTCCATTCTGGGACTACACATGTATACTTCCCTCTGGTACACCTGGAAGACTCTTATCCATCTGTGAAACCCTATGTTGCCATCAAAAAATACTACCTGGCCAACATCCCACCATCACCTCAAACCCAATCACCCCCTCTCTGTATGCTGTCACACCTATATTAATAAACTTATCACACTGCATTGTAATTATTCCCTCACCTTTGTATCTATTCTTTTAATAACCGATGTATATTTTTGAAAGGAGAGATTGTTTCACTGTGCAATCAATAAATGTTTGATAAAATAAAGCCCATTTGGTTTATTTTATGTATTAGAGAAGCAAAAGGGAAGCCAATTCTCATTGATCTTTTTATTATCCAAAGACAATATAAATTTATTGAAATGAAAGCTCAAGCTCTCTCCAGTTACTCTCCCATAACATGTATGTAGGGCCTGAAAATTGTGATGCTACTGGGTTCAGTAGTGAATGATCATGACAATAGCAGATCATGGAATAGCCAAATGCAAAGTTTTAAAGCTATTGACAAAAATCCTTTAGCTATGTACTATTGATAATGGTTAAGTAAAATGTGTAACTGTAGCATGTAAGAATCACCTTTAGAAAGTAAGTAATCTTGATGTCTGATCATCATTCTCTCAAATAAAGGAATTAAATAATCATTACTACTAAGGATGTCATCAAATCTGTATTACCTCTACTAAGTACATTACACAGTCACAAGTAGACTATAATCTTGTAAATAACTGCATCTAAGCTACCTTTGCTAAATAGCAAGGTATGTTTTGTGGGGTAACCTATGTATTTTGCCTCTAATGACATTTTCAATCTCTACTTAATGTGGGTACACCTAAAGTATACAATTTTTAGGAAAGATCTTTCAAGATAAATTCCAAAAGCAAATCTGTCATCCATAAATACAAACACTTCATTCCATTATAATATTCCACTCAAAGCAGAGTGCCTGATCTGTAGAATAAAATAATCTATTGTATCAAGAACTTGGTGAAGAGGCATGGTAGAGATATCTTAAAATCACATTCACAAAATGAAGAACTTCCTAAACTAGTAATCACAAACACTAAGTTCTAAAATATTTTTTAAAAAACAAGATGCTACAATATAGCCATAAATGATATACCACAAAGAATAAAAGAAAATAGTAGCTTTGGATAGAATAGGTGAGCTCAGAATACAAAAGCTTTTCATCAAAAGTTAAAATGTAATTACTTTTATAAATAAATAGGATAAGATCTTCCCAATAACTTTCAAGAAAGAGCAGGGCTGAAGGGAGTGCAGTTCCCACACATGGCAGAATTCTTGAGAAACCAAGGAAAGTAACTGTAAAGTGGGAAGGATGAGGCAGAGAAGGAGTGAGAATTCTCAACTCATAGAAGCCAAAAGGTAGATAAAGTCATTATCTCATAATTTTAAAAGAATCATTCAATCTTACTAATCCCATTATTTATTACATTCCATATCCATTTAAAAGCTTTTCCTTTCATAACTTTCCGAGGTATTCTTTCTAAAATACTTAAATCTTACCCTGACATAAACTGTATTCCTTCAGCAAGTGAACAGATCAAAGTTCACACGGATCTTAGCAGAATATCCAGAGCAAAAAAACCCAAAGCCGGTATTATCTATTATTTAAGAAAAAACTTAGAAGACAGTAGCCCTACTAAGGAAAGTGCAGAATTTACAAATCATTGGAAGTACCCAGAAACATATCTCAATATTTGAAATTTTACATAGAAACCAAATGTAGGTAATATGAATACAGAACACATGTGCTGTATTAGTTTGCAAATTTTAGTGGCTACCAGAATCAGCTGGAGGGAGTCTCAAAATACAGATTGTCAGACCCATCAAAACAACAAAAGCAGTACATCTGTCTCCTTTAATAATCCCAGGCAGGCTATGAAATGCTTATTATCTTCATTTTAGAGATCAAGAAGTTGAGAAACAGAAAGGCTAAGTAACTTGCATGAGGTCACAGAGCTTGCCATCTGCAGGAATGGGGCTTTAATTGAGACGTGGCTTCTACAGAGCTTGCCATCTGCAGGAATGGGGCTTTAATTGAGACGTGGCTTCTAAGCCCATATTCTTAACCACTGTATTTACAACCTCAGATCTAATTTTCTCAAGAGAATTCACAATTCCAGTTTCCCATGCTATAATTCCTGTTATTTACAGAACTTCCATAGCCACCCCCATGCTCCCTGACCCCACAAAAACAATACATTTCTGTGTGGGTAGTAACCAGCCCAGATGCTGCCAGGTCTTAAGCCCTGACCTAGAGGCTAACGAGAACCTCCCAGGATCTTACCCAAGCAGCTCACACTCATTTCCTGAATGCCTGCTGTGTGCCAGGCTCTTTACAAAGATTATCATCTTTCTAATTCTCACTACAATCGTATGAGACAGATACTACCAGGCTCTCCAGTTAAAAACAGGAACAAAACTGAAGCACAAAGTAAACATACACCTTGCCCATGGTGCACATCACTCACCAACAAATGGGGCAGAGCTGGGACTGAAACCCAGGCAGGTGGTCTCAAGACCAACACCTCAACTGCTCTGGTCACCACCTCTCTGTCATGTCAGACTTAGCAAAATTCCTCAAAGGCCCCACTAGGGAGAATGAGGAGGAGGTTTCTTAGAGGGGAAGAGAGAAGTCTCAACATGAATGGGCTTCAACAACCTTGGGGGTATGAATGATGCAATCGCGGCACCTACGATTACTTCAGGGGTCCCTCCAGCACTTGAGAGCTCAGGGGGAGTAAAATCCCCAAGAGTGGATTCATTTGTTCATTTAGCCAGTCATTCCTTCATCACCAACTTGAGTACAGGACCTTTTGTGTCTCTAGAAGGTGAACACTGGTAAGGAACACAGATGATAATGACTTGAGATGTGATAAGAGGTGTGAGAGACACACCACAGAAGTTCAAAGGAATAGGTAATTAATTCCACATGGAGAAAATGAAGACGGGTTCACAGGAGATGGAAATTTGAACTGGAACTTGAAGAAAACAGAGCATTCAAAAGGGAACCCTCCGGCACAATGGGCAGTTTCAAGGCAGGCTCAGGTAGGGGTGGAACTGTGTTGTGGTTGGACCCTCGTGAGGGTTGCAGGGGGCCTGAGCCTACACCACATGACATAGGGAATACATTTGGGACAAAGATGCAGGACTGTACAGCCAAGCACTGTACTGGGACATCTAGTCTTCACTAATGAGTCACTGAAGGTTTCTAAGGTGAAGAACCACATGTTCTGGGCTGTGCTTTAGGAAAATCAATTGACCAGCTATAGGATGATTCTAGACTGAAGGAAGAGCCAGTGGGGCCAGGTTAATTAAAGAGGTCTTCCATGTATGCAGGCAAGAATCATGGGGAAAACATCTGACATGGACCTTCCAGACATTCTCAGGAAGAGAGGTTTTAAGGTCAGAGTCCAAGACCATTGAAAGTGGGGGACTCTATGTAAAACATGTGATTAATATGTAAAACATATTAGCAATGGGATCCATAATGCCTCCACCCCCTTCTCCTCTAATTGAGGGTTGACTTCTCTCAGAATCATTAGCTTGAATGATTTGCTATGTCATCATCACAGAAGCAGATTTGGGGTATGTTCCATTTGAGGCATCAGTGAGAGAGGTAGGGTCAAAGAGCCCACAGCTGGGCCAAAACATGGACCTTGGCCCCAAAAATAGAAATAGACTAGAGGTGGAGGGAATAGTCTTTTTTGAGACAGGGAGAGAAAAAGGAACGAGATGAGAACCCCAGAGGCCATACTACACAAGTCTCGTGGTCAGAACAGACAGAAGAGGAACAGGGGATGATGCCTTGCAACTGGGAGGGCAGGTAGTGTTAGCGAATTAAAAGAAGAAACAGGAAGTCCAGTGTACTGAATACCAAGGAACAAGAGAGATTCAAGGAGGAAGGGATAGCAAACAGAATCATATACTCTAAAGAGGTCAAAAGTGATGAATCTACAACTATAAGGTCAATGATAACTCTAAAGTGGAGGTGGGGTGAGCTCCAGTTTGTGAATGAGAAGTGAGGAAGAAGAAGCAACTGTTATCTTCCCATAATGGATAAGTCAGTTTAAAAGAGTTCCATGGGGGGCCAGATGCAGTGGCTCACACCTATAATCCCAGCACTTCGGGAGGCCGAGGCAGGTGAATTGCTTGAGCCCAGGAGTTTGAGACGAGCCTGGACAACATGGTGAAACCTCAACTCTATGAAAAATACAAAAAAAAAAAAAAAAAATTAGCTGGGTCTGGTGGCGTGCACCCGTAGTCCCAGCAACTCGGGAGGAAAAGGTGGGAGAATCACTTGAGTTCAGGAGGTTGAGGCTGCAGTGAGCCATGATCACACCACTGCACTCCAGCCTGGATGACAGAGCAAGACCCTGCCTCAAAAGACTTCCATGGAGAAACAAATCAGCTTTTATATTAATTAGGCTTTTCCCAGGGATTTCTATGAACATGTAGAATAGTTATTTCCTACGCTATGATGTGCAGAGTGAACATGCTCCATAGCAAACAGAAATAGCAAACAGAGAAGTACAAATCAAATAGTTGGGTGTAACCACACAGGCAAGAGAACCCAGCCTTGGTCAGAAATTGAGTGTACCACTATTTTCAGTATCCATGTAACCTGGGTTTCTGCTTCCTCGCCTCTGTTCTCATTCTAATATGAAGTGCTTATAGAAAAAAATAAGATGGGAAGGATGGCATGGGGAGAAGAGGTGGGGACACTAAGAGAAAATGGTAGGAATGGAAGTTGAGACAGTTGCGGGGAGTGATAAAAGGGAAAGAAAAAGGCAAGATAATATGAAAGAGAAAGGAAACTAAATTTAAAACTTAAAGAAGTAAACCAGTTCTTTAAAAATTACGTAACTTGCTGAGCATGTGAACTTTTGCCACTCTTGTAATACAACTCAAACTGACAAATATAACGTGCTGAGGCATAATAATAGAATGTCCACCTTTATTTTTAAACTTCAGTTTAAACGTTAAATGTTTGTATATGACTTTACTTACTGGTGTCGATCTTAAGTAATTGTATCTCATGTATTTCTGAAGGGTTTTATAGCTTTGAGTTTTTTTTAATATTAGCTTTATGTATTGACTTTATATCATATATACATATAATGTCACTGGTCTTTAAATCTTTGTTTTTTTATTCTATTTAACTGCACAGCTGAGTTTCCTAAGTCCAAAAATGCCCAAACTATGAGTGAATGAAACTTTAACCTGAACACAGTAACCCTACTGAGA